AACTGCCAATGCGTTGGCAAAGATGCGTCGATTGCATGGGGGTGATTACTTCGAATAACAGACATAAAAAAGTTGGAAAAAATAAGTACTTTCACTTATTGCGTACAAAACGGCAATTTCATAGGTAAAGACCTATTATTTACAAAAAAGTATCTAAGTATTCTATCAGTCAATTTAACTTTCATGGTGCAAGCTCTGCTTAGTTTGAAACTAGATAGCGTTGTGTGACAGATGTGTGAATATATTTTTAAATATTATATTATTAGAGGTCCATTACCAGACATCATCATCATCAACAGCCTTTAATAGTCCACTGTTTTACTTTAACTGTCCAAGGTTTAGCAAACTGCGCATAACATTGCTTCTTTATTGCACAATTTATTGAACTCGCTGCTCGCTATTATAAGCATAGTATATATTCATTCTTTAATAGTCCACTGCTGGACATAAGCCTCTTTTTAGAAAAGAGGTTTTGGCCTACTATACTACGCTGGCTAGACGGGTTGGCAAAGGGTTTGTGTCAAGTTTTCCGTCTCTCCGCAGTTCTGTTGTTCTGCGTAGTTTTCTCCATTAGTCGGCTCTTACAACAGTCACGGAATGAATAGGGGTGGTGACACTCTGTCTGTTCTTAATCCGTGACCACACGGACATTATTACCAGACAAAAAAAAAATGTTCTTAATCCTTGTGATACCTTTATTTATGATACAGTTTATTACCCGTACATTGTTGTCTAAATCACCTATAAAACCTTATTGCTTTTCAGGAACTTAATATCAAAAGAATACTCTATATTTTCACAGTTTTATTGCTTTTCCTGTGGTGTGTTCTCGGTCATTGAACTATTTTTCTCTACGGACCACGTATATACGTAGTATTACAAGTTTTGAAACTGTAGTAAATCTTGGTCCGTTAAACAAACAACAAAATAACAAATATTTTTTTGACTTAGGTAATAAATGTAGACATAGGTAACAATTCCCTAAACCCTCTGTTAACTTAGTTATGCTCTCGTAAAGTTTTGTGATTTCACTTTGTTTTGTCTGGTATATCATTGTACAGATTTGTGATGAATTTATTGACAACAACTGAAAGTACTTACAATATATTTATGAAGGGTTTTAGCAACTGCTAGTAAGTTTGCTCTCTAAGTATATTGAAGAAGTAAAGTTTGTAAGTTTGGATGTTGGATCTCAAATTCATTTACGAAAATGTTTCTAATTTAGAATTAGGTGTAATGTAATTATCGTAAACGAATAAGGACGATGTAAAATCTGACAATACGCGACACAAATACAGTTTAAAAGTTCGAATTAGTTCAGTCTCTGTTCTTTGTCTACCGCTTTTCCGATACAGTAATGAATGTTTGTTTGTAAGTGATTAGGTTATAAATAAAATCGAAAGACTTTTTACAGAATTTCACTGTTCAGATAATATTCTATCATATGCCATAGGTAATGCAAATAGGTACAGAATGAGCACTTTGGTTTATTACTGGATGAAAAAATGCTCTTACTTTGTCAAACTTGTCATAGTCCATTCATTTACAGTAGTTATATTATATGAAGTTTCATATTCTACTTAAGATACCACCAGGTATCTTACAGAACAATATCTTGGTCAAAAAAGACATAAATGTGTCTAAGCTTGAATTCCTTTCAGTAATATTGGTCTGTAGTGTTACTATTTATTGTAACTTTATTCACTGAATTTGTTCTTTACTTTATTTCCAAAATTACCTTTCTAATAACTATGATCACATCACATCAACAGCCTTTAATAGCCCACTGTTGGATATAGGCTTCCCCTTAGAAGAGAGGTTTTGGCGTACTATACCATGCTAGCCAGACGGGTTGGTATAGGGTTTGTGTTAAGTTTATATTTTCTCTGCAGTGCTGTTTTTTTACGTAGTTCTCCCTTAGTCGGCTCTTACGACACCCAGGGAATGAATAGGGGTGATGACACTCTGTATGCATACTCCGTCACCACACGGACATAATAACTTACATGCACTTTATTATCATAAAAAGATGTGTATATATCTCAATTATTAATTAATTACCGCATACCCTTGCTCTCACGGACTATCTGCTTTTGTTAATTTAATTTCTCTCCTAATCTCGTCTGACAAAGATTACATTTCTAATTAGTGTTAACGTAAGGCCGGCAGGCGGCCGTAAAAGAATCTAACTACAACCTTTTAAGTATAAATAACAATTGGATAAAAGCAAAAAAAAACTAAAAATGTAAGATGAATTGTGTTTTCTTTTTCAGTTTATTATACAAACATATATGTACTTTAAATGGAAACGTATTGACAAGCCTTATACGATACTGGTATCTTAATATGGTTAAGAGATGATGCATAAAAAAAAGATGAACTTGTCGCCAAGATATTCAAAAGTCAAAGAAATTTTTACGATGTGATATTGCAAACATCAAACACTACAGCAAAACTTTTATATGAAATATCTTTTACACTCGACGTAGTTCAATCGATCATTTTGCTTGACAGGGTGTAAGATTAACTTATGAAGATCATACGGATGGTACACTTTGAAGTAGCAGCTTTGTAGCTTTGGATTAGTAAAGGCTTTTGATCGTCGTATTACGATTGCAGCAATAATCAACTTGTGTATTGAAATTATCGCTTTGCTGAGCATGTATTTAAATTATGAGAGATTTTGAGGTATTATTTTGAGATCGTGAATAATATGTCTGTATGCTGATAGCAAATTATGGTGGTAAACGGTAGTTTACCACCATAATTTACCCCGCCCCTGCCGGCGGTACGGCAGGGGCGGGGGCTTTGTGCTCCTTTAAACTTACCCACTCGATATAAATTAGCGAAATAATTACTCAAAACTTGTTTTTCTGTGTAGCCGTGGTATTACTCTAGTCTAGTCGCTCCTTTGTTTCGAAGAATAACTCGCCTACAGTTAAATGTCTTTTTAAATCTATTTATTTCAACCATTACTTGTTAAATTGTTTCTATTTAGTATTTTGTTTATTGACATAGTCCACTACTTGACAATGGCATGTACTTTGAAAGAAGGTTTTGGCCTACTATACCACTATACCACAGACGAGATGGTATAGGGTTTGTGTCAAGTTTCCTTCATTTTGCAGTGCTGTTGTCCTGCGTTGTTTGATCCCTTAATCGACTCTTACGACACCCACGGGATGAATAAGGGTTCTCCATATTGTTAATCCGTCACCACACACAGCATTCGAATAAAATAGAGAATTTGTATCGTCCGGAATTAGACATTTCGCTATTCTTTAGAACAACAGTAGAATAGAAAACTAAATGTATAGGATTTATGTCAGCTAATGAAATGTCACGTCACAAAGCATCATAAACTTTGAAACAGAAGACAATCAACCGCCCTTTCCACTTTAAAGGCGTCTCGTAATTAATGGACGGACTCAAATAATTAACTCAAATACTTCGATGTTTGTGAAAGTAACCAAAGACGACATTGTACTTTTAGTGATAGATAAATGGAATTATCGTTCGGTAAATTAAAGTTTTGTTACCTATCAACGATTTTTGATGAGATCCGTTTCCAAGCTTGGCTGTCCTTATTTTGTTTCTTCTATACACCTATAGCTACCTTCATAACTATGTTTGTTTAAGTTTCCTAAAATCCTAACGGCCAGTATTGATCGAAAGCATTAGTGCTTGTGAACTATTTACTTTGCTTATAAATAAATAGGGTGACACTCTGTGTTCTGAATCTTTATTAGTATGTTTGTTGGCAGACTGGTTATCATAGTAAAGGTTCTGTCCAATTTAGAATTTTTCAGAGTATTTTAGAAACGTTTGTAAAAATTAATTATCATTATATATATATATATATATAGACTCTCAGCTTGGTACATATTCAAATAGTTGTAAATAAAGTGCGTAAGTACACAATAGCCGGGAGCAATCTTATAAACCAACCCTTTCCAGATAAATTAGATACTAGCAGCCTACACAACTATGTGTGTTTAAGTTTTATAAAATCCTACAGGCCAGTATTTATCGAAAGCATTAGTACTCGTGTACAATTTACTTTGCTTATTAATAGGTAAATAAGTAAACCAAAGTTTTATTCTATATTTATTTTATTCTCAATAGTTTTACATATAGTTAATATCACATCACCTTTGGTTTTATCTCCTATACAGGTTTTACATACTATATTCTTATTCTATACAATAACGCTATACTAAATGAATGAATGATGTCTAGAAGTGAAAAGAATCTGTATTAACTGAACATTATTTTAATAATTTCTTAAATTAAATGGAGATTAAAATGTAAAAAGTTTAGGATACTGAATTTTAAACGTATGCGTATGTGTTTACCTCTTAAATAAATACCTAAAAGAGACATTACGCTTTAATTAATTACTTTATATACTTATAATTTACATAAATAACACTAAAAGAAATCTCTCACTACTGCTATCAGACTTCAATTATAGCAAAGACTAGATCATTGACTTGTTTCGACAGCTTGTCTCCGCTTGTCGAAACAGAAAATCGTATGGCGACGTATAAAAGTCGAGTAGAAAATAAATTATTTTGAAACACAATAATGTTACTCTTATACACATAGAAAATAATATAGTTGCTAGATAAAAACAGTTTTTTTCTCGTTTTTTCTGTTCCAATACACGCTTAGAATTCATCCAAAGAGGCAGATAACTTTGTCTATCGAAGTTCAAGAATTTCGTAATAACAACGCATTTCTTGATTAAACTAGAAAACAATACTTGACTTGATACGAAGGGCACAAAATCCTATATCTAGCACGTACCATGTTCGATTTAAACGGATTAAATTTTTACTTTCATGCATTATTTAACTATTTACAAATCAATATTGCAAGTTTACCTTATTGCCAGTTAATTGTTTAGATTAATTAATATTAAATTAATTACTTTTCTTGAGATCTTATTAGCATATTATTTACTAGGTTTTGAAATCACAAACATAACCAAATGAGCTTCATAAAAATTGTGGTGTTTTCTGGCATCGATGATCCTTCAATCCATTGTCCCTGAATGATGAACTCCTGTTCGCCCTGCCGTGCTGCGCGCTAGGAGTGCCAGTCCTTCCGAGCTGGTTGTTGCTGAATGTGACCGTAGTGCAGGTACGCATACTAGACGTGTTGGATTTTTGACGTAATCCCTGCATCTGAAAGAAGTTTTGAGAAACTAAGAATGATTACTAAACTAAATAAACGAATGCACGGATGGTGTAGTGGTTTAAGCGCTCGCCACGCTGCTGAGTGTTGTGGGTTCGATCCACATTGCACAATACTTCTTGTGATCCACAAATTCACAAATCCACAAATCTGAGTCTGGGTGTTGTTTGTGTCCGTTTCATGTATGTTTGTAAAGTCCCCCGCGACGCAGGATATATTCCTAATGCGGGAGTTGTCTCTAAGAAAAAGAAAACCATATGCGTAAATTGCAGTGTGTAGTTTTTTTTTATGTTAGAGGGGGCAAACGAGGTCACCTGATGGAAAGTGACTATCGCCGCCCATGAACGTCTGCAACTCAGGAGTCACAAATGCGTTGCCGGCCTTTTACGGCTTATCGTCGGCGGAAATACCGCACACGATAAGCCGTTCCACAGATTGGTTGTGCCTCGAAAAGCTATTTATTTTGATATTTGTTGTTTTCTTTTTCTTTTTAATAAAGACAACTCTGGACGGCATGTTTGGTTAAATGAAAGGGAACGGTATATTTCATCGATTATATTGTCCGTGTGGTAACGGATAAAGAATACAGAGAGCAAACTAAGTCAGTAGACTGCGCAGGACAACAGCACTGTAAAGAGAACGAAAACTTTTACAAAAAAACCCCATATCAACCCGTCTGGCCAGCATGGTATAGTAGGCCAAATCTACTTTCTAAGGCGAGGCCTATCTATGTCCAACAGTGGACTATTTAAAGCTGTTGATGATTGATGAAAATTATATTTTCGGATAATGCCTACCATGCACTACTTCCTATAAATGTATTGTGGAGTTGTTTTAATATTACCTGGCGGGTGCATGGTCATTACATGACTTATCGTGCTTTTTAAATGTGTATATTGTTGTTGATATGTATATGAATGTTGATGAAAAGTGGAAAGTATGTAGAACTAGAATAACTAAAGTACATGCTTGTTTAAATGATCTTTAATTCTTAATATTTCGTTTTATATGTACCTAATATTGTTTTAACTTAATATTTTATTTACCAACCCATTAAAAATAAACTGTTTCACAAAGTTTGTTTTGTTTACCAAATGTTTACCGCTGTGAAAACATCGACGGATGTTTTTGTTAGACTTAGTACATGTACAAGAATGCTTAAAACTTTAAATAAAAAGAACAAATGTTTAAATGCCAAGGTGTCTTTTCGTGCTTTTTAAACGTTCTGTTTTTCTACTTAGATAATCTTTGGTTGTTGCAATCTCACACACTGAGAACAATGTATTGAATGAATTACATAATGAAGTATAATAATGTATCTGTATCATTAAAAACATACTTAATTATAATTATTCTGATGTACTTCACTCTGCTAAAGTTTTTCATTTACATTTGTATAACATATCAAATAAATATATATCGTAGTTTTAAAGTTTGTGATTTTTATATTGAAGCAAGATTAGGATACAAATAAATAGTCTCAACTAACACATTGACTTGTTTTTTTCCCTTTGTACGTGAATGTATCTACCTTGTTCTATTGCTTGTTCGGGGTAAACTTACATGGAGATGAGTATTAGAGTGAATGTTACCCTGGTCGTGACAGATCAGCTTGCGCAACGAACGGCGAAAGTTGCGTGTCATCAGGCAGTATACAATCGGGTTGATAGCTGAGTTTGTGTGACCTGGGAACATGGTGATTTTTAAACTTACTTTTTAAACTTTTATATAAAATATATTTTCTAATTGATTTAACGTAATAATTAACTAACCTAGTAGCAAAGTGTACGGCAGTATGATAGACACAGACTCGACGTGCACGGCGTTGACGTCGATGAGCAACTGCAGGATGTTGTAGGGCAGCCAGCAGAGCGCGAACAGCACAGCCAGCAGTAGCAGTATCCACGCCACTCTCTTCCTTTCGCGGACGATTCTTAGCCGCTGGATCAAAACAAAAATGATTAATCACCAGATGCAAAGTATTTGTTTGTAACAAACTCTATACTAATGTTAGTATGTCTTTTAAAAAAGGCGCTAATATCAAGAACTACTGGTTCGAATTGAAAAAAATATTTTAGTTTTGGATAGCCCATTTATCGAAGAAGGTTATAGGCTATATAAAATCACGCTACAATCAATAGCAGCCAAACATATTAAATTATTGATATTGACATATTGATGAAAAATATTGCAAAAACAGGGATTTTCTTTTCTTTTTGAGAGAAGTAGAGGTAGTTGTACGGGTCTGCTAGTCTAAAATAAGTATAATTTATTTATTTACATATTTTTTTTTTTTTTTTCCACAAACAACAGATCATTGTACAATGGCAGACCATACCACACCCGCACCACTACCACTAGATAATACCACAAGCATTTTCTCCCAGCCTACATTTGGGTGCTTCACCAGGGACTTCCTTTCTAGAGTATACCTGGTTCCCCGGCTATTAGTACCCGAGACGGCGTGCGGTTTTAGTCGGTTCGAGTCCGACATGCCATCGACAGGTGGTATCCGAGTAGATTTCCACATGGAAAAAAAAAGTCTACATTTGGGTGGTTTTGGGTTTGAGTAGGGGCACTAGAAATTAAGTTTTAAATGTAAAGAAATAATAATAATTATTAATATACTGAGATACACATACATATTTACTTGCTAAGTTACAAACATACATATAATACACTATGTAAAACTATTAAAGCCAGGTAAAAGGTTTATATACATATTATTCTACAATCTACAATTTTTTTCTTTGCGTTAGCTGTGTTTTTAATGTGTACCTGCTTAAAATACAGGTGTAAAAAAGATAGTTATAGAATCCTTTCTACGCTGGCATATTTCCAGATTGCACTTCATGGCGAGATTAGTTACTTAATTAAAATTAAAATTTATTATGGGAAAAAAATAAAGTAGCTACTTTTAAAAATAATAACCATAGAATATTCTATCAATACAAAAACAAATTTTTAGTCGTAAACGTTCTTAATGTTGTTCTTTATCATCGTTGGTCGGAATAATTTTTAAATGTTGTGCAATTTACTTTAATACAAGTCATTTAATAGAACAAGAGACAATATGCTTACGAAATAACAATCAAAATGGGTCTTTAGTTTAATAGTTATTGTTTTAGAAGTCTATGACTTAATAGATTTTATACTTTAGACTGAGGCCATCTGGATCTGAAAACATTTTGCTAATATCTGTTTATTTTAGACCCAAGTTTACAGATTATTTGTATTATTCTAAATGAGGAAGGATCAGTATTTATTTATTTTACACAAATTCATGTTATGTAATAAATAAAAAACAGTAGATAAGCAAACCGAGAGGCAGTGCTATTAGCTGGATACCGGGATGCCAAGAGGAACTTTCAGAAGAGCGCCCAAGAGCGCTAAGCCCGCCTATATATTATATATTTTTATATTTATATATCAGAGAGAGCCGTCGTCTACCCAAGTAGAACCGGTCTCGGTAGACGTGAAATGTCGTGCGGCGTCCTACAGGGGTTAGTATTAGGGCCATTCTTGTGGAACATCGGCTATGACTGAGTGCCTTCCGTAGTGCCTTCTTTCGTAGTGCCTTCCTGCCGTCACGTGCGTGAGGACGTGAACGCACCGTGAGGTAAATCTGAGAGCCACGGCTAGGGTTGCCCAAGTCGTGAAGCGGATCCGGCGGCTGGGTCTCGAGGTGGCTCTAGACAAATCTGAGGCCTTGTTCTTTCACGGGCCTCGGAGGAACCCACCTGAGGGATCCAGCCTTATAGTAGGAGGCACTCGCATCGGCATCGAGCCCATGATAAGGTATCTAGGGTTCGTACTTGACTGCCGATTTGACTTCGGACACCACTTCCGAGGTCTGGTCCTCAAGTTGATTGGAGCAGCGCGTGCATTGGCGTGGCTGCTGCCCAACATGAGGGAACCCGATGACTCCTACAGGAGACTCTACTCGGGGGTTGTGCGGTCCATGGCCCTTTATGGGGCTACAGTATCGGCGGAGGCCCTGAAGGCCAGCCACGTCGCATTACTGCGACGACTGCGGCGAGTGCTCGGGTCATAAGGGGGTACCGCACGATCTCCTTTGAGGCAGCGAGTCTCTTGGCCGTTACTCCACCGTGGGACCTGGAGGCGAGAGCAATTGCGGCTCTGAGCAATGGCGCGGTGAATTAAATTTTTAATCTCCTAAACAGGTTTTACAAACTGTAGTTAAAGAATAAGACATTGGAAATAAGATAAACTGATGTTCTCATACGTCCAAAACTATCGAAGTTATTACATATTTATATATATATATAACCTGAAAAAAAGCGTACAGCGATTAAAAGCTGTAAGGTCACACCTCAATATAATTTAGCCAGTGGAATTTCATAATAATTACTTCATCGTACCGACTTTTACTGCTGACTGACTTTTAAGCCAAAAAAATATTTTTAAGGATTTTGTACCTGTTGGCTGTTCGCACTACCTTCCGTCTGGTCACACGGCGGTAGGACTGAACATAGTCGTCGTCCCATGAGTGAGTAAGATACGACAAGTATACAACCTGGAACAAGAAATAGGATTTAGGATAACATTAACAGGAGAATACGATGTATTTTAATTGTTTGACATTCAGACTAGGTCACACTGACCCTTCACAGGCTATCACGGATGATTTTTACTTTTGTCAGAGGAACCAATGAATAATATTGATAATTGTTATTCGAAATTCTAATAAAAAGAATCACCAAGATTATCATGAAATGGAGGCCTGGCCACTTATACGTAACACAGATATTCCTATAAATAAGAGCATCACGGGCACCAGTATCTCATAAAAGTATTTTTCTACTTAAGTTAGCTTAACCGATAAAAGTGTACACAATTGTGTACACAAAAAAAAACAATTATTATTATTATCAACCATAGATTGTGTTTTGAGATAGGTAAAATTAGGACCTTAGCAGGAAAAATATGTTAACTTTTCATAGGTGTAAAATAACTGAGTCAACATCGGGGTTCCCACACAGGAGGGGGTCTATCTAGAATCCGTAGATGGCCCGAGGTACGTCGGGGTTCCTGGGATTTCCTTTCTAGGGTACACCTGGAGACGGGGTGCGGTTTTTGGTCGGTTTGAGTCCGACATAGACATCCTACTGGTGGCTGGTATCCGAGAGGATTTCCGAAGGGAAAAAAAAGTGTAAAATAACGTATACTGATCAAATCAAAAACTGTTAAGTTACGTAACTATCTTCACATATTGAAACAGGCAATAAATGGTACATTACTGCTGTAATTTGACAACTATGAAATGAAACAATAAAATTAAATGACATTAATTGTGCTCGAGATTTAAGACTAATGGCCTGAACCAACAAAGATTAATAGCCTGAAGAGTATTTAAGTCTTGGCTGTACTATTAATCACTTTGGTTAAAGTGTTTATTGATTCAACATTTTTTGCACATAACGACGATTGGTTACAAATAAACAATAAAAAAAAGGAAAGCTTCATTAAAATACTACTTTTTGCTTACTGATACAAAATCTGGTCTAGGTATTTTGGGAAATAAAGGTGACAAAAACAGAAATGATTAAAGTGAAACATGCAAATGGTCCGGAAACATCGCAGGTGACAATTTGTTCTACAAGTTTGCTGTACGAGGCAAATAGTCATCAAAGACTGTCACTTAAGCTTTGATTATTAAAAGGTAGTTAATAAACCATACTCGACTACTAGCATGAGGTTCTGACTTTAATAGTTCCTTAAATGTTTCAAGACAGATTGGACAACACTTTGTATGATCCAAAAATTGATTCTTTGTGTCCGTTTCATGTATGTTTGTGACGTCCCTTTTTAACTATGCCTTTAAAAAAAAAACTTCCAAGACTTCCTCAGTTCCAGAAACAATCATCACCATGTCACGAGTTTAATTACTTTTGTCTCACTAACCCTCATCCTCATAAATTAAACACAGTGGTCTGTGAAACAGAATGTGTGATAAATTGTCCCGTCGACCAGATGTCCAATGTTTCTTGGAAGATAATAATATGTTTCCATTCTTACCGAAGGCCTTTTCAATTATCCACGGAAATAGAAAATATTTTATCCTCAAATATTATTTAACTTATTTCACTAAAAGCATTTGCGTGTTTTTATTTTCATTATAATTTTCGATTGTACTCTATTCAGAAGGGGAAAAGAAGTTAAAAGAGATAAGCAGGTCTTTTTCTTTACCTAAGTTATATACTTAAATATTTGAGATTAAAATGTAGAAAAATGTTCGTTAAGGTTGCCGCATTTGTAAGCGTTTCACAGTAATTTATTGGTAAGTATTTTTGCGGTAAGTTTTAAAATTCAGAATCAATCTGTCTCTGTTAACTTTAAGGAGTTTGTTTTCTGAAGTACGGCTAGCGCTGTGGATTAGAGTGAGAGAGGACGAGTCTGCCTACCGCTGCCATATGCGTGAGAGAAAGGGAAGCCAGACAGACTGGCGCCGTAACACGTTACGTAACGAAGTGCTTTACCCTCCCATAAGAAGTTATCACTTTAAAACATACATTTAGGCCTTGCTAGCGTGCTAGATGACAATAAAATCCTGTCCCCTGAAAAATTAAGCCAAATTATATGATTTATTAACAGAGCGTATTCCTTCCTAAAAGGCCGACATCGTGCTTGTGACTACTGAGTTGCAGGCGTTCATGGGCGGCGATAGTCACTTTGCAGAATTGGTTGAAGCAATCTATTTTATACTTTCAGACGAATTGATATTGGAAACAAGGCATAAACCTAAGAAGTGGTAGAATGACTTGAGGAAAGTCACTAATGACTGCACGGATGGCGTAGTGCTTTAAGCTCTGATCCCCACATAGGACCATACTTTGTGTGATCCACAAATTGTTGTTCTGAGTCTGGGTGTTCTTTGTGTAGTTTCATGTATGTTTGTAAAGTCTCCCGTGACACAGGATACATTCCTAATGAGCTATCTGAGGAGTTGTCTTTTTAAAATCAATAAATCAATTTATTATGGTGACAGATTTTTATAAAACGAGTGCCATAAAATCTTTCTAGTATGCCGTTGGATATCAGAGATCACATTATACGGAGACTCGGGAACTGGGGGACAAAGAATGTAAGTATTTGGTGTAATAAATAAATAATTATACCCACAACCTAAAGTTTGCCAACATGACTTAGAAAAAAGTAATCAACAAAGTTTGTCTTTTGATAACAAAATGTAAGATAATATAATATTTGTTAGGTATCGTATCTCTATTCAACACTAAAATTAATTCCTTTGAGGAATGTTATAATTAATACGGCTCATTAATGTTCTGTTACATTACGCTAAACCAGTTCGAGCCAAACAGTCATTCTAAAAGAAGCTGCTTATTAGTAATATAAATAAAAATACCAACTTTGTCTAAAATATATCATCACATCAACAGCCTTTACTAGTCCACTGCTGGACATAGGCCTCTCCTTAGAAAGGAGGTTTTGGCCTAATTCACATCGTATTTTAAAAGTCAATATCGCTTGTTGCACATTCTCAGGTTTCATCTCTAAAAGTAAATTTTTAATATCACGTTCACTTTGTAATCAGGATTATAACATCACTATTAGATAACTAGCACTTGTATAAGTAAGTTTAGAAAGATTTATTTTTAAACTGCACACAATTGATGGAAGAAGATCACTTGATTTTTTTATTCAACTTTTTTAACTACTTTGGCCTTACATTATTTTTTTAAATACCTCATAAAAGAAAAAGACCAGGAAAGGCTAAGTACTCTACCTATCTAGCAAGAGATGCACCAGACACTAGAAATGATCTCCTGGCAGGAAGCAGGGCTATATATCGGCGCATTACGTTTGCAGTAAAGAATCCAAGATGCTAGATAAATGTATTCTGCGCGAGCCTCTACGAATTAAAACATTCGCCTATTGTTCAACAAGCATCGAGGTTCACGCGAATTGCCTTTATAGAGTAGACCTCAGATGTTAGCAAGAGAAAAAATCGTGACGGAATATCTAGAGGTTGTAGCCGATTTGGGTCCAATTTACCACATATAATAAAAAACTATTTATCTCTTGGGCCACAACAAAACTGGCAACAGAAAAAAAAACAAAGATTCGTAATATTTTACATAGACGAAGTCTCTGGAACCGTCCAGTAAAAAATATTTCAGTACTTTAAACGAAACCGATTAAAAGGCTTTTGTAAATGTACAACGTACAATGTAAAATACTTCACAAAAAAATGTTACATACATTGTTCGTAACCAAGTGCACTTGTTTATAGCACCAATAAAAGCTTCCAATTCGCTACATATTCCAGACAGGAATGAGGGCAGTAACAATATTCTTTCATGATAAATATTTCATTGCAGTTCATTACCATATATGACGATAAAATCCGTACCTCTTAAATAAGTATCTAATATTTCAAGTCTTCAGACCTCATGCATTCAAGGAATGAAATTGATTTTCCTTACCTATTATTTGTCACTGATAACTCATAAATTACTAGGGATAATCAGTATCGATTATAAATGCAAGGATTCTTTATTACCGAGTACTAAGGAAATGTACCTAAACAGTTTAAAAATAAAATATGGTTTCAACATACCTTACGCACACGTAGGAAATTGTAAGGCTGTATGTTATATGTAAATAAGAATTGCTTACCAGGCACAGCATAAACGAGGATGAAACTAAATGCACCGAATAATTCCTTTTTGATCGAGTCCGGCCATTTCTCCGTGCAAAATTCGATACTGCGCTCCACCCATATCTGCGAAATAAAATTTTAGTGAATTACATTATCGTTGGAGGCCAAATGTTTATCGAGCTAATCAAAAGCGACGTTCGACACAGGTGGGACGACCTTGTCTTCAATTCTTTGTGCCACATTGTAAAATGTAACTTTAATTAATTATGATAGAGATAAAAGAAGAATCATGCTGTTGAAAGATGGACTTAATGGATCAAACAAATAAGCTGATATCGTTAAAAATTCCGTAGTAATTGTTTTAAAAGTAATTTTCAAATTGTTGAATTCGAACATATGCTTAAGTCCTTTAAACGCGTCCCGTTACGAAAATATTTGATCATCCCCGTAATGACACTTGAGTAAAAACGTAAATCTTTAACAAATAGTTTTTACGTCAATATATCACATACAGGATATTATAGGGTTCGAAAGACTGAATGCTGTTACCATATCGTGTGTTTCTGGAACTGACAGAACATTTTAGCTTGTCAAGTTTATAAGTAATAAGTTGTACGTTTACAGAAATCCTTTAAACTTTTCAAGTGGCGTTTTCCAATCCTAAAAGTTTTAATCTTAAAGAATTTCGATCCAATATTAGTGTATATAATATACGAACGACTTTGACAAATAAGGATTTTACATAGCAACAAGACTCAATGCCAAAATAAGGGTAAAAAAGAGTACTAAATTCTTATATTCACAAGCCTCAGAAGTATGGTTTTAGTTTACTAGAAGTGTACATTACCCATTAAGAGTATTCATTTTAGGTTATGTAGTTGTTTTAGGTGAAGATTAAACTCCATAGTGTACTCGTATCAATCTGATGTGTCTAATACGCTACCGCCGCTTTGGAGTAAATAATATTTTTAAGAAAACTGTTATTATCTTTAATACTTTAAAACTGTTATTTTAGTCATTGGATCACCTTCAACTGAGTTAGCTATGACGTGAAAAAGTATTGAGCATTTTTACATAAACAATTCTCGACTTTTTGGAATTATTTATATATTATGATTTTTTTATTGTAGAAAGCCCCATAATATATCAGATTTTTTAAATCTGTCTATTTCAAATAAAACAAGCAATAAAAAGTAAAGGATTCATTGTGAATTAATAACGATGAAAACTAAAAATAAAAATAAAATAAAATAAAACTAATTTTACCTTGAAAAAGACAACTACCGACAATCGAAATTTCCCCATATCTTTTTAACGTGTTTACTCAAGACCTTGATTTTTATACACCTAATAGGGACCGTAGACCTCAGTATCTGGTAAAAATTTTAACTCGCTAGGTCTACTCGTTCCTGAGAAAATCGGTGGTTACAGACGGACAAGAAAGTGATTTTATAAGGGTTCCTTTTTTACCTTTTGAGGTACGGAACCCTAAAAATCAATTTATTTTGATCATGAGTTTCAAAGAGAGAAGAGAACGGTACGTTCCCACAAACATAAAAACTCTTCAGATTTTCATTATGCTCATTATTTTGTAAGACAAAAAATATGTGAGATCTAACATCATTATTAGCATATTTGAATTATTTTCTTTTCATGATAACTTTTTTGTTAAATCCCTAATACTATTATAAATGTGAGAGTAATCCCGTCCTTCTATTACGGTTTCACGGTTTTGGCATAGAGATACCTTGGTTCCAGAGTTAGCATGTCGACTACTTTTTAGTGGGAAAACCGGTATATACGCGGGCGGAACTACGGGTAAAAGCTGGTAAAATACAAATGCAATTCAGCATTACTAAGCATTCATGTTAGATGTTAAATGGAATTCCATTCATGTTACATTTATAGAATGATGCTTTGTTTGACAACCAATCAATCATATCAATCATGTTGCCAGATTACAAAATGCTTCGTATGTTATGATTGTAAATTCTTTCGACACACTTTTGTTTAAATTCGAAACGGTGAAATCTGATGAAAAGTGTGGATACATGTATATTTTGTCTGTGAGAGTAGAAAGTGCTATTATTTTTGAAGTTCGACTGCACGGATGGCGTAGTGGTTTAAGCGGTCGCATCGCCGCTTACTACTACGCTGAGTGCTGTGGGTCCGATCCCCACATGGGACTACACTTTGTGTGATTCACAAATTGTTGTTCCGAGTCTGGGTGTTCTTTGTGTCCGTTTCATATATGTTTGTAAAGTCCCCCGCGACACAGGACATAGTTATTACGTGCGGTAGTTGTCTTTTTCAAGGTAAAATTAGTTTTATTTCGCGAAAGCTTGTAAGTACGAAAATTACCTTAATTTTCAACTTTTTTTATTTTTCAGAATTTTCTCTTTACTTGTGCTGTAAGACCCTGCTGAATTATGGTATTTCCCGTTGACCTAGAATCACGAAATTTGGCAAAAAGAAACCTCTTACAGCACAAATTAAGGAATAATTCCAAAAAATCAAAAAAGTTGAAAATTAAGAAAAATTTTGGTACTTACAATTTTTTTTTTAATCTGGGTAGGTACGGAACCCTCGGCGCACGATTTCGACTCATATCCGACCGGTTTTTTTTCTTCATATTAGATAGTGTATTTATTGAGGAATAACACAAGATATAAAACGACACGCTACAACCCTTAGGAGTTCGGCAGTAACCATAAACTCATGTGAAGCCACAGGGAAACGCTAGTCAATAATATTCGGGCTTATAAAGAATGAAATTTCCGACTTGTACTGTAGAATAGAAGCTCGTTTCTTTCTAAGATGTAACATATTATATTTACGAGTATTTAATCAAACTTATATTATTATTTAACCATCTAAACGTAAGTTCATTTATGCCTTTACGATGAAACTCTGGGGATCTCGATCCGACAAACTGTGGGTAAGTATTTTGTACTGCCTCCTGGGAAAAAACTTTTCATCAAGTAGAAAATTAACCTAAGGTCAGCCATTACATTATTCGCTTACGATTATCGTAAACAGTCCACTTTTCGTCACATGTCACAATTCGATTAAATATTCCTTCATTTCTGTACCGATTCAACAAGGCAACACAAGTTTTAACACGCATTTCTTTCTGCAGATCAGTCAAATTATGAGGCACCCATTTTTCATATCTTCTTATCTTATTGATTTGACGGAAATGAGTCAATATTGTAAGTAGGGTAACGTTAAACCATGCCGCTAATTTCTGGGTAGTTTGACTCGGATTATCTTCCATCATCTCCTTCAATTTAGCGTTATTCACCTGTGTGGGCGATCTTCCACGTGGTTCGTTCTTCAAGTTGAAGTTTCCATTACGAAAGCATTTAAACCATAATGCACAGTTCGTTCGTTAGCATTCTCCTCTCCAAACGCAGCTATTTTATTGCGTGCCGTTTCTGCCGCCTTAGTTCCGAGTCGGAACTCGTATTCAAAAATGACTAGGATTTTCGAAGTATCCATCTTTGACGTATAAGCAAAATAAAGAAAAATAATTGAAAGTCGAAAATCGAATGTTGCACATTTTATTAAAAATGTGAAAAAAGTTTCAAACGAAAATCTCACAACATGAAGGTTTTATGTCAATTCAAAGTTTCTATTACTATTTAATGGCAATTTCATGCTTTAACCCCTAATATAAACAAATATATAATTTATATTTACAAGTTGCTTTCGAGCAGAACGTTAAAATATTATTTTTAAGTCTTGACTTTACACTGAAATGAACTCATCAAACCTCTTTCAAAACTGAAATTAACAAAACTTGAAATAACCTTGATGTACCGCGTCGCACTACAACAGACACTGCTAGACTTTGTCTTACTTTTTACTGCTTTAATCTTAATAAGTATATAATTATGTAAATGTATGTATGAATTCTTGTTTGTAGACGTAGGTATATTTCATCATCATCTCAGCCAAAAGACGCTACTGGGGGACATAGGCTTTCCCTAAGGTTCGCCACAACAAGCGTTCCTGTTCTGCCCGCATCAAAGGGATTAACGCGACCTTCACTATGTCATTGGACCTTGTGCACAAACACCGCTGCATTAGACAAATAATTAAATAATAATTTAAAAATCCCCAACACATCTTCGATTTGAAATTTGTCATAATGTATAGAGTTCTACTAGTCAAGCCCTTACATTTGAGACCCATATTGAGGGAGTTGTGATAAAATTTGTAATCCGCCCTTTTGTGGCGGCGGCCATCTTGGACCGATGGATTTTCATCAAACATAGCTAAGAACACTCCCGACTAATTCCACCTCTCAAACACATCCCTTCGGGAGCTACGATGCCACAGACAGACACACACACAGACACGACAAACTTATAACACCCCGTCGTTTTTGGGCCGGGGGTTAAAAATGCCGCTGGCTCGGCGTGATTCTACTTTGAAAAAGTAGCGGTGTAATGTTATGACACTGAGAGAGAAAAGCACAAAATACCTATTATACCAAGATCGAATTTGACACGTGCAACTGTAGTTAGATAATACGAATATATAGGTATGCTTACTAAATCTGAAATATACAGTAACAAAAGCAATTTGTTTAGCGAGGATTCTCAATGTACGAAATGTATTAAATTGTAGCATAGTCCCTGGTAAACCAAAGGAAATAAATAACAACGGTCAATCATGGCTCTTCAAATTAATCTAAGGATATAATTTAAGCTATTTCGTCTAAAATGTTAGTACGAGTACTTTAATAAACTACTGTTAAGGGAAAAACCAGGAATTACTAAGCGGGGTTATGTATAGCTGGAAACTAAATTCCATTTCAAGAAACTAATAAACACTTAGAATTGTACCGATTTTTTTACCATTACTATACTTCCTATACTTTTTATCCTTTGGTTCTTGGACCCTGCGGCTATGCACTAATTTGCAATCGATTTGCAAGGTCGCGCGTTTTATTCCTGCCTACTGTTTGTATAACTCTGGGTGTTTCTATGCATAGTTTGTATGTTTACCCGTTACACACTGGGGCAGGAGATCCTTATAACTTGCCATCAAATATAATATACTAAAGCTGTTAGACGTTCTAAAGTGGACCGAGTGTTCTCATAGGCATATATAATAACAGAAAAAAAACAATTCAGGTAATTAACATCATCATTTTTTTTTGTTTAAAAATAACACATTAAATATTTTTACAAAAAAAAAACGGTATTTCTTAAATATAGTACGATACCTATTGAAGATATGTTAAAGCATCATCATCTTCATCATTATGATCGTCATCGACTGTAGTATTATCATCTAAATTATTTAGAAATGGAGCTTTCAACATGAACAGTGCTTCTTTAGGAATATTTTTCACTTTATTTTTGACTAACTTCTCCTTACTGGTGATTACGGGATCATAGCTCGGTAAAAAAAGTTTAAAATATCCCTATTAGATTTTTCTCTGCTACATTTTCTCGAATTAAGCTCTTTATAGCGCTTAAAGTCCTTGTTTCTTGTCTCCTGTGATTCTTCTGTTAATTGTCCGATAGGGAGAAGTGCAAAGGATATAATTTCTGGTCCATGAATGAAATACTTATGCAGAGTAGGTGGCAGGTTGTGCCACGGGTATAAAAAAAACGAAATATCTAGCAGTATCAAGTGCAAATACCCTGTAGTTTCCAGCATCTATATCAAATTCACTTGATATATTAATTAAAGTAATGTGTTGTTTTTAAATTAAATCTACGTCTATACTAGTTATTTGTGCTGACAAGTCTGGATTTTGGAAAAAACATCTGGCGGTGTTTCCATCGTTGCTACTGCCGAAACCCGGTTTGAGTTTGTCCATAATTAGGCCACACTTTTCTCTAAATTCTTTTTGAATTCGGGCTTTATTTTCTGAAACAGTTTGCTTATCCTTCTCTCCACGGATTTGCCATTTTTTATAGGGAGTTTGTATGCTAAATGTATTAAACATTCGAAGAATCGAACTCAACCGTGAAGGACAGAAAGACCTTTCTTAAAACTATTTTATTTATGTTATTGAAATCTTTTGATGTTGCACCACACAAAAAGCATTTCATGGTTGAAGTAGTTTCTGTCAGGGCATTACAAACTTTTCCGTCCACTATTGACAAAATTAATTTATCAATAATTTTAAATGTATTTTCGTGTGTGTTTAAATGTTTTCGTGGATAGACACACCAACAGATTCCTTTTGAAATTCAATTTTTATTGGCCTACAATACCTAGTTGACGCAGGACGTGGGTTCTGCCATATAACGATATCTTTAGCTATCAATCGAAGTGGTACAAGACATATGATAATATATCAGCTTCAAAGTCTTGAAACGCTTGCTTGAAACCACTTTGACCCAAAGACCCATCAAATCCCCGTTTAGAAATGAGGAAATAACATTGCATTAAGATGATCATTATTCAGGGTATTAATGACATAATTCAATGTTTGACATAATCGCAAAATAGTGTGATCTAATAGTGATTGTAAGTTGACGGAAGCACCAGTTCCGGTTACTGTAATGCCTGTAGGGTAGCATAACTTTTTGGCCTTCTGAACTGATTTATAAGATGAAAATTTTTCTGGAACATTTCTTCTCATCACATCGTACTGCTCACGGGAAAGCTTAGCTTCTATCAGAACAGATAAGGCATGTTGTGGCTGGAAGGATTTTTGATAAGCTCCTTGATATAATTTTGCATGTTCTGGATGATCAGAAATATCCTTCAAAATTTTTGAGGCTTGTACTTCACCTTTAGCAAAATATTAATATTATTTAGAAAATATAGCAAATAAATTTGTTTATAAGAGATTATACTATAAAGATTATTTTTAGATAGTAAGCAAAGCTTAATGTTGCTTAGAAACAAAATATTTTTCTGATAATTTTCTACACACCCAAATCTAGCCTGGTCTGCCAAAAACTATTTATATCATAAAGAAGAAAAAAACACTCTAAAGCATAGTTACATACCTAAAGATGATGGTTCCATAGCTTAATAATACCAAAAATAAATACTTTTAGCGCAAAACGGCTCTTAAATTGCACGTCTGGATAGGGTAGTCTGCAAGACGTAAGTACGCTTCACTGTAGTAACGAAGTGGGTTTGTTATATGGCATTTAAATACCGCCAAATAATACCTGAGCTAGTATTCTAATTAATTTATATATGATGGTAAACAAGTGACATCTTTTTATTTTTTTATTTTCGGCATTTATTAGGGTCTTCTGCCCCAGTGTTTTAAGTTTAAAGCTTCGATACTAAAATTTAAATATTTCAGGATATTAATATCCATTACTATGCTTAAGTAGGACATAAAAAGTGTAGAAAAACCTTGGCAATATGACACAGCGATACAAGCAGGATTTTCGAATCCAACTTTAAATCGAAGCAAAGTGAACTTTATGGAGGAACAGATGTGCAAGTAGTAAAAATATATATTGCCATCTTTTTTGCCGCTATATCTACAGAGACGATATTTTAAGTGTTTTGCTACTTTCTTATTGACAGCAAATAATCTAGTATTCGAAGCATCCTCAATCAATTGATTTACTATCTTCTAATGATAATTAGACTCATAAACCTCTTCTCCTTCTTTAGCCAGGTTGGTTTATCACTCCCAACGGCGGATCTTTAGTAGTGGGAACCTAAAAAAATTTCGATTTATGTTAAAGCAATTGGCAGTTGAGAGAATATTATTCCTCACAACTCTAGATGGGTGAGCCCTGAAAACCTACCCATATATCAAATTATGTAAGGACATAATAATATATCGCTTTTCTGGCATAAATATATGAAATTATACATTACATTTAAATTAGGGTTCTTCATCAGCACTTTTAAATAAATATCCTCTTATGATGTTACCCGAAGTTAGTAAAATGTTTCACATAAATTATTAACTTTCTAATTTGCTACGCTTTTTGGCTCATCCATAATTTATATCTTCCGAGTATAATACCATTAATATATACAATGTTTTACTTAAAATTGAATTTATAAGTATTTTATCAATTTCTTTTAGTACACTTGTTTTATATTCCTTTATCCGTGTGGTGACGGATTAAGAATACAAATTGTCACCACCCCAATTCATCCCGTGGGCAAACTAAGCAGGACAACAGCACTGCAAAGAGAAGGAAAACTTGAAACAAACCCTATACCAACCCGTCTGGCCAGCGTGGTATAGTAGGCCAAAACCTCCTTTCTAAGGAGAGGCCTATGTCCAGCAGTGGGCTAGTATAGGCTGTTGATGTGATATTCCTTTATTGTATCTAATAACAACGCGTTTGTGACTCCTGTGTTGCAGGCGTTCATGGACGGCAGTAGCCACTTTCCATCAGGTGACCCATCTTTTCGTTTCATCATCTTTATTATATTCTTATCATAAAAAATAACAATTACTTTCCCAAAAAGAGGTCAAACCAACAAATCTTTTACAATGTTATACATTGAGCTGAATTCAAAATGATTAAAAGTTGTACCACTTGAATGGAAAGACATTTGTTAAAGAAAAGAGGATTACCTTTGTCTGTCCATGTTGAGTCTGATGATATTAGTTGCTTTGGAGTTAATATTTAAATGCAATGCAGATTTACAGTCAAAGTTTTATTAATTCACAATAGTGTTACTGTTATAACTTTTTATTACTGGCTGCCAAGAAACTTGAAAAACTGGGAATGAAACTAGACTTAATCAAATACCTGAATTGAGAGCGCTCGGACTTTTAAAACTTTACTTGTAAAAAGTTTTTCTTGTAAACTGGTCCAATACACTATCAACTTAACATAGAGGAAGCAATAAGATGTTTTTAAAATTGTTTAGAATAAACATCTGAAACTCAGATTAAATTATTAATACCAGTTAGTCTTACCGACTCATTCTTTGTCTTGAATAACGATGGCACTCGTTCTCTCTCCACCGTGGCGACAGCTAACAATGGTGCAAATATGGCGAAGGCAACCAGCCACAGCCCTACGAGGAGACCACAGGCACCTCGTCTCGAAGGTATCCAAGGCTGTCTTAACGACTGTGTGATTGCAAGGTACCTGTCCACTGACATGGCTGTGATGGTGAACACGCTTGAGGCAACGGCTACACCTGTGTGACAAAAACATTTTATATTGATAAATAACTTGGAATTAATAATAATAATATAATATATAATATAATATATCTCACACATCTCACACACGGCCGTCTGATCCCAAACTAGGCAGAGCCTGTACTATGGTAACCAGACCGCTGATAAACATACTTATATATTTTTAAATACATACATATTATAGATAAATTACACCCAGACACAGAACAAATGATCGTGCTCATCACACAATATTTGTCCTGGGTGGGAATCGAACCCACGACCTCCGGCTTAGCAGTCAGGGTCACTAACCACTAGACCAACCGGCCCGTCAATTGACTCGATTGTGTGTAAGAGATCGCCGTGAGTAATAAAACCGTAGATTGTTACGTCTACCTATTTGTAACATATCTTTTTGTCATCTTTTAAAGTGTGTACAATGAAGGGAGAAATAAATAGGTGTATTCAACGGGCCCGTTGGTCTAATGGTTAGTGACCCTGACTGGACCGGAGGTCGTGGACTTGATTCCTACTCAGGACAAATTATGTGCAATGAGCACGAAAATGAATGAATTGAAAAAACATAGGTATACACTGTTTTATCTTCGTATCTAGCATTCAAAGTATTCTGTGATGAGCATGGTCATTTTGTTCTGCATCTGGGTGTTATTTATCTATAATATGTATGTATTTAGAACTATATAGGTATGTTTATCAACATACTGGTTACAGTAGCACAGGCCCTGCCTAGTTTGGGATCGGAAGGCCGTGTGTGAGATGTGTAAGGTATATTATTATCCGAAAAGTACCTATTTGTAAATTATACAATTCGACAAATAATATATTTTACAATGCCTAAAACAACCACTTAATATTAATTAATAAATTACAAAGAGTGATACATTACGTTTAATAACTGGCACTTTGAAGTTTGATGAACTCGGTAATGAAGAATTATGAACTTCACAAATTCGAAACAAATTAGAGTTTGTTTCAAAACATTTAAATTGAGTTACTCACATTTTTGCCTAACAGAATTACACACAATGAGTACAGTTAAGATGATAAGAATTAAATCAGAAATAACTTAATTTTTGCCTTTACATGTTACGTATGCAAATAAATACATAACACTTTGACTGCACTAATGGCGTAGTGCTTTAAGCGGTCGCCATGCCGCTTCCTACTACGCCAAGTGTTGTGGGTTCTAACCCCACATGGGACGACACTTCATGTGATCCACAAATTGTTGTGGTGAGTCTGGTCTTTCTAAGGAGAGGCTTATGTCCAGCAGTGGACTGTTAAAGGGTGTTGATGTGATGTGTGATGTGAGTCTGTTTCATGTATATTTGTAAAGTCCCCCGCGACACAGGATATATTCCTAATGCGGGAATTGCCTTTTTTATAAAAGACTAGCTGACCCGCGCAACTTCGTCTGCGTCTCTCAATAGTAATAAATTTTCTCCATTTTCGAAACATTCTTCATTGGTGCTCCGCTCCTATTGGTCTTAGCGTGATGATATATAGCCTATAGCCTTCCTCGATAAATGGGCTATCTAACACTAAAAGAATTTTTCAAATCGGACCAGTAGTTCCTGAGATTAGCCCGTTCAAACTAACAAAGAAACAAACTCTTCAGCTTTATAATATTATAGTATAGATAAGAAAAATATATGATAGTGTATGTTAGACCTTTATATTTTTATAATAACATTAGAAATAAAGAACTGTTTAAATTAGAATTATAAGCACATCAATTTTGAAGTAATCCTGATTCTAAGTGCGGTAGACGACTAATGAACACACTAGTGATAATTTATGTGTACTGAACATCGTCTGGCGGTCGAATTTCGGCCAGGGCCGATAATATACATATATAATTTTTATATTTTATTCTTTAATAATTTATTTTAATTTATTTATTACTTTTTTTTATAATTTTATTTTTTAAATAATTTATTTTTATTTATTTATTTCTTTTAATAATTTATTAGAATAAAAAAAAAAAAAAATCATTTCATCAAAAAACGTAATATATTTTTAACTACCGATATTTATACCGATGCCAATGGCCACTCGATGGCATCTCAATAGCGTGTCAGTGGTATGACACTGGCTTGTCGTAAACATAAAATAGCAGAATTGAGGCCCAGATAGCCTTTTTTTATTTCAATGACCAATGACTGAATTGTTCTGTGACAAGTCGTAGTATATTCTGGACTTTATAGTGTGTTTACATAATTTAGAACTGCAATAGCATATATTCTTTCAAACTTTACCTTAATCTAGACAGACTACATGTGTGTAGTATATTACGAAGGAGTAGGATTTTTTTTTGTTCATAAAGGGAAATAAAGAATTGTCTTTTAAATATTTGTATATAGAAAGTAAAAGGAAGAAAAACAATTATTGCAATTGCTTGAGTATAAATAAACTATAAAATAATTTGTTATGAACTACTTTTTAACATTAAAAAAGATTACCTTGTAAGAAATTAACAGTCTTGCACATGACTTCGCCGAAGTACCAGAGCAGCGTGACGGACTTGGCGATCTGCACCGGCATGCAAAACAGCGTCACGAGCAGATCCGCCACCGATAAGTTCACCAGGAATATGTTGGTCACGCTGCAACAAATATAGACAAATCTCAATTTAATAAATAAGCAAATCATGTATCGTTCAATCTTTGCAGATGTATCGTTAATCTGATTATATTGGCATTGTGGAGATAAACGTAAATACTGCTCGAAGTAAACAGAATCATATTAATGCAATTATAAGATCTCATGATATAATCAAACCATATTTGATATAGAACACTCACACACGCACACTCACACACACACATACACACATAGACAAACCACCAAGTAAGTACGTGGGTGTTTGTGTGTGTGTGTGTGTGTGTGTGTGTGTGTGTGTGTGTGTGTGTGTGTGTGTGTGTGTATGTATCAACAATACAATAAAAAATCAGTTAAGTAACTGAATTTTTATTGTATTCTTGATACAACAAAATGGGTGAAGACACTGTCTCCTGTAACACAGGTCATCAACACCTAACATAGGAGGCAGAGTCCCAATGTATTGTAACAATGGCTATGTTAATAAAATGTTCTTATTATTTAATTAGAATAACTTTCGCGCTGATCGAACCTGATATCCAATCGTACATGTAGCATGCAGAGCTATTTTAACCAAAATTAATGCAGTCTCTATGGCATCGCTGATTTCCAGTGGGGCAGTAAACTGGCACAGAGCCAATACAGTTTACAGATACCCTCAAATTTTGTGGCCAAAACCCGATATTCTATAATACGAATTCGATACGATAAAAGATATATAGGTATCTTCAATAAAGTTCTTTATTAAATATGGCCCATGACAATAGCATTAGTTCATTATATGGGATACTTCTGTTTTGTATTTTTGTCAATTGCTGATTTTGCGATTTCAATATCCTAAATAAAAACAAGTTATTTTTTTGCTTTGTAATCAATTACGCCAAAAATAATATTCATATTCACATTAATAAAACCACTTTGTATGTTTTTAGCTGACGTAAAAACACATCTTAATCTGTTATATGCTTAACTTAAATAAATGTGTTTTCCTAGCAAACATTTCCTTGTATAAGAGTTTGTTTATATCAAGTAGAGATACATTTATCAAAGTTTATCGACGCGGCTAATCCAGTTTGTGCTGACTCTGAAGATATTCTGGCGAGAAACAGAGATAATTCCCATCATCCACTTGCCGTTAAAAGCCTAGTTTATTTTGATGTTCCCCTGTGATACATCAAAGAAAAGAAACCTTTCTTTAAACCATTTATTTTATTATGTTGGTATTCAATCACTTTCGTTGGAGAATTGATCCCTGATACAATAAAAATGTAACAAAATACAAAATATTACCAAAAACACATCTCTGAGAAAAGGTTTTTTTGTATAAAAGACAATATTAGTATATTATGGTTGTTATGAAAGAACAAATAAGATTTATTTTAGATGGCTAGTAGACTTGGATTGTACCATGATTGCGCTCATGGTATAGAGCGAGAGTACGTATTACGTTACATACTCCCTCGAGCAAGCTATGCTCGCGAAAGAGAGGGAGTGGTGGGGCCGGGAGAGGATTAGAACTCTCCCGGCCCACTTCGCCCGCTACTACTCGCTAGGCTCGGCAATGGGTAAGGAACCGCAGTCAGCTCAGGCGCAGAAGGTCACTGAATGAACTCCGACCACCGCAAGCGCAGGCCTGGGTGTGACAGATGAGGCTATCTATCACCCTAGCAGAATTAGGCCGGGCTAGTGGTGCGACGCATTCTGGAGCGTGCGCCCTTTAGAGCCATAATCTTGTCACATCTATAGAATTTCACGATATTTTGAGACTTACCCAGTACCGGTTCAAACCTGGTAAAGGGAATTTCATATCTTTTCTCAATTCCATTACTGTAACGCCTTTCGTATATTTCAAAGTTATAAGAGTGAGTGTAGTAATATTAATCTGAAATAATCTTCTGAGAACATTTTCATAGTTTTACTAAGACTGATCAGATTACGATCCTCTACTTGAAATATGTCAATATAAGTTATAGTATCTGATCCATCGCAAAGATGAAAAAGACTCGAGTAAACTAATATCTAAAGATAAATGGCGTCTCAAGCGCTTTCAGAAGGCACTCAGTGTGTTCTAATATTGTTGATTATTGTTGTCTTCTAGTATGTAGATTCTAATATACAAGTACTCACACTATCTAGACCACTTCCATTTTATTTTTATGATTATAAATTGATACGTAACCCTTACCGAGACAGGGAAATATCCGAAAATTGATATTGTTATGTCTCTCGAAAAGTCTATAATCGTTTGTAGATGTAAAACCCAGCTATGTTCGTTTTTTAACAGGGGTGGAGTATGGTTTCGTAGTTTATTACTACTTGTATGAAATAAGTGATAACTTTATCTAAATTCTTAGTTATTATCCAAGGGTTTTGTAGGAAATTGTATTCAAAGAAGAAGCTAGGTGGCGGTCACTCTTTTTTAGTAGCTGACTCCAACTTTGTTGGGCACTCGTACCAAAAAACTGACTGGCTGGACACTAGAAGAGAATATGGTACACGGTGCTGAATCTATGGCCTGGTAGAAGTTGCTCTTGTTGGTGAGGCGAATGGTAATTATCTTTGTTACCAATTTGTATCGTTGAGGCAGCAAACTTATTGGACGGTAACTGTTCAAATCAGCTTTGTTGGATGACAGCACACTCGCTTCTTACAAAGTTATCAATTTTGATAAGTTACACAAAAAAAAGACTTAACAACCACCTTAATGTTGATAAACAGCTATCCATTGATATCTCACAGTATGGCTTAGTCAAGAAAAAATCCCCGTCCCGTTTAGTGGAGGAACTCTAAAAATATTTCACGACTTTGGCGGCATTATTTATATAAATAATCACAAGAATACAGCTAGGACTGATGAACGGATAGACAGACTAAAATAGCGAAACTATAAGGATTCCCTCTTAGCAATATGGAACCCAAAAGGGTGCTTAAAAAGGGTTAAAAAAAACCAAGGCCCGGTCGGAAAGGGTTCGCGTTCTGCGACAGCCGACAGTGTTAGCGACATGCGTACACACTCCAAGCACATTATTAAGACAATCATATTTACGAACTAAGAAAATAAGTTTTTCTTCGAGATCCATTATTTAGTAACGTTATTACGACCTTGTAGTTTAGTATACACAACTTGAATGACTCGATTCCGCTAATGTCCATTCGCATTCCGCTATGGCCGTTCGATTTCGAACGGAAACGACGCATGCTGTCCAAAGCTCTTCAGCCACCGTGGAATGTAAATGAGACGGAAATATGAACTTTAATTCCTGTTTATACATTTCAATTTCCTTTCCTACTAAAATGCTGTCTGGCCAAGTCCGATACGAGCTGTTTGCTCTGAATCGTACCTTAGTATGTTTATAGTATATTTATGGATTGAAATTACGACCTTTTAACTGAACACACCATGTGTCATCAAAATACCCTGCGAAAACGAATCCCAAAGTGGTTTTCGTGTACAGCCTTAATAGTATTTGCTTTGTCATTTGTCAAAGGAAGGCCAGCTAATTACCAACCTTTTTGTAATTGAGACCATTAAGGGCGGTTGGGGGTGCTATTGTGTACTGATAGATTATGAGTTTAGTCCTTGTGTGTAGGTTAAATAATTAGATTTTGCAAACTGATGTTTCAATTAGATTTAAGAAGATTTTCTTAAATTCTCTTGTATTATTGTAGTTATTTAAGATTATAAAACCTGGGTACTTCACATCACATCAACAGCCTTTACTAGTCCACTGCTGGACATAGGCCTCTCCTTAGAAAGGAGGTTTTGGCCTACTATACTACGCCGGCTAGACGGGTTGGTATAGGTTTTTTTTCAAGTTTTCCTTCTCTCTGTAGTGCTGTTGTCCTGCGTAGTTTGCTTCCTTAGTCGCCTGTTACGACACCCACGGGATGAATAGGGGCGGTGACACTCTGTATTCTTAATCCGTCACCAAAACCTGGGTACTTAGCTTAGATCATTTATATATTGTGTTTAGAAATAAAGAGCATATAAATAGAGATTCGCATTATAAAATAACATTATTCTAAACGGGGCAAATTTAATTATGCTAGTGCGCGTGAAAATCAATCGCTTATAGTGACAGTGACTACACAGAGACACTGGAAAGGAACTTAGTGGCTAACAGTTGGCCACTATTTTTTCTATACCTTTTCACCTTTGTCAGTATATCTGTAGTCATGTCAGTAGTCACTTCAATGATATAAGGTTTTTGCTCTCAGTATCTCAGTATTGTGGGTTCGATCCCCACTTGGGACGACAATAAGTGTGATCAACAAATTGTTGTTCTGAGTCTGGGTGTTCTTTGTGTCTGTTAAATAAAAGTATTTACAATTCCCCGCGATACACGATAATATACCTTGTGCGGGAGTTTTCATTTTTAACAATAAAATAAAGGTGTAACATATCTAACTTTTTTGTTGGCTATATCTGTCAGTCAAAGATGGCTACGACCAAAAGCCTTAAAAGGTAGCTAGAGTAAGATGTATTTATTTTACTGTTCTAAATGTATAAAGTCATAACATAAGAATTTTATTAATGTTATAAAGGCTGTGAGACTAAAAGTTCGTATAAAATTTTATATTTAAAATTGCACCTAGGACATTAGCCAATCGCAGCTGGCACCCACAGGACAGGCTTGCCTAGTGTGGGGCCACCGGCAATGTATCACATCTTTGTACTTTTATTTTTCGTAATAAATGATATATTATTATTATTATTTTACCATAATGGGAGGCATACGAGCAGACGGGTCAACTGATGGTAAATAACTACGCTCATGGCATACCTACAGCTCGAGAGTGAGAGGGAAGAATAGTGAAGGGGAGATTTTGGGCTAAAGTAACCTCACTGAATTGGTGATACCGGTGGGCTTGTTGGTCTAGTGGTCAGCCAGAGCCCGTAGGTTTGATTTCAGCCCGGAACAAATTATAACATGGTGATTGCGATCATTTGTTGTGTCTGGGTGTAATTTACATATATTGTGTATGATAATTAGAAAAATAAAAGTACATTTATAAGCAATCTGGTTACCATAGTACAGGTTCTGCCTCGTTTAAGATCAATTATAGAATGACAACATTTTGGCAATAGAAGATGAGTATGTGTGTATGGTCCATACTACGTCAGAGAGTGGGGACCACTGGTGGCAGATTAAATGCTGCGGTAGGGGATAGGATGGCGGCCTGATTGCATTAAGACGAAATTGGCAGCCACGTCGTGATCGAGGGGGAAGTGTTTTTTCCCCTGGAATAGGGCCTGATTAGGTATGGTGTCAATTCGGGGAAGACCTGAAATAACATGATTCAGGTCCTCCCAGAGTAAGGTTTTTAGTGGAATCACCACATACTCTTGGCTCCTGAGTCCCCGAGGAGCAGGAGATCCGAAGGCAATTTCCACCCCGTCAATAAAAAAAATAAAAAATGGTCCATACTAAGTGTTAAATGTCAACATTATATGTGTCTTATGAAATGTCAGCATTATAGGGAACAAAGCCTTTGTTCGCTATAATGCTGACATTTCATACAACAAAGCCATACTTTTATTTTGCATTATTTTGAAAGTGAGTTTGTTCGGTACACTTTCATGCCTAAACCACTAAACCAATTTTAAAATGGAAAGCTACACGCTCAGTGAGTAAGACAGGCCTTTTTTTACCGAGCCGCGGGCAAAAGCTAACTTATAACTAGTGAAGTATCGGAGTAGTGTAACTTAAGGTATTAAAGTGGAAAAGATGTGCATTTAACTTTGTAGTTATCAAGCTTGCCACAAAATATGATGTCATGTGTGATATTTATGGCTTTTATGGTATTGAAAAAGTTAAAAAAATTAAAGCAAGCAGGCTGACACCGTTCCTTACTTAGATACGCCAGGTATCTAGTATGATTCTTTTTATTAAATTAACCGTATTAGAGTCCACTTGAAGGTGCAAAAGAAAGTTTGCGAAAGTTCTCTATGAGCTATTAATAACTTAACAATTTTTTTCTGACTTATCGACGTAGATAGAGGTATCCCTTTCATTATCGAGACAAGAAAATTTAATTGATTAAAGACTTTGAAAATTACTTTTTGTTTCAAATTATTTTGATGTACAATACTAGAAGGAGTTTTTAAGGTAAAGGACCCCAAACACGCCGTCTGGGCCTAACAGGAAGTAACTACCGCCATTAATATCTGTAACACAATGTCGGACTCGAACCGACTAAAACAGCACCCCGTCTCAGGTACCAGTAGTCGAGGTTCCGGCGGGAACCGGGCCCCCGCCCATACTCGGGCCCCATAAAGGGTCATGGACCGCACAACCCCGGAGTAGAGTCTCCTACAGGAGTCATCGGGCCCCTTCATGTTGGGCAGCAGCCGCGCTAATGCAAGCGCTGCCCTAATCAGCTTGGGAACTCAGAAAGGGAAGAGGAGAGGGTTTCAGTTCCGATCACTCACTTGGTGAGCAACGAAAGGATTGATTTTACACCGATTTTCAGTGAAACTTGGTTCTGCCACTGTTCAAGAATAGAGTGAATTAGTTTTGTTTTGGTTTTACTGTACCATCTTCATTCCAAACCCTGGCCCTTCCCCTTGATTCGGGGAGGAAGCACTGAAAGAGCGATAACACATGTGACCCTTGAGTTGCAGGAGTCCATAGGTGGTGGTAACCACCGAGCTTCAGGTAACCTGCTTGCTTGTTTGCCCCTCTATATACCTTAAAGGTGAAAGGTGGCGTATGTACAGGGTCTACCAATAGGGATGACCTGGTTTCGACAGCTCATAGCGGCCATGTTTGATGATGGATCTTTGACGTCTTTTGACATTTGTGTTCAGTAAGGTTTGCCATT